CTGCAAGTTGTAAGAAAATGCAATTTTACCTACATTTTTTTTGCCTTTATTCTTCTCATCATCTACAATTTTACTATTGGCTAAATAATATTCCATCTTATTTACAATGTATATTTTAATTAACAATGTATTTAACAAATCTGTTGTTGGGCATTTCAGTTATTTTCAGTTTTTGCTATTATAAACAACTCTGCAATAAACAACATGTTCATACATTTCCTTAAGATGTGTTTGAACAATTATTTCTTTAGGATATATTCCATGGGGGTGCCGGGGTGGTTCAGTTGGTTAAGCATCCAACTCTTCATTTCAGCTCAGTTCATGATCTCAGGGTCATGGGATTGGGCCCTATGTTGGGCTCCATGCTCAGCTGGGAGTCTGCTTGAAATTCTCTTCCCCTTCTTCTGTCCCTCCCCCCCACTTGTGCATGCATTCACATGCTCTCTCTCTGTCTCTGTCTCTCTCTCAAATAAATAAATAAATCTTAAGAAAAAAAAAAGGATATACTCCATGAAGTGGACTTTCTTCACCAATGGACATAAATCTATGCCATTATTCTCTGCTTTTTCTTCTACTACCATGAATGATATACCTTTTTTTATGATTATTTAATCCAAATTTAGGATAGAATTTTAAGTTGCTCATCTGCTATGTAACGCCATAGCCCACCAACAATTTCAATTCCCCTTCCCATCTGTTGGTCCTACTGATAACATAATATGGTGTTGACTGGAATTTTCCCTATGACTTGGATCCAAAACTGAAAACAAGAAAAGTGTTATATACTGCATGTTCTTAAGAGAGCTGTCAACAGCTGGGGCCAAGCACCTTACTAAGGGCATTCTAAAAAGCAGTTGAGCCAGACACTAGCCATTCCCACCATTACCTCACCCTCATGGGAAACAGAGCCAACTAGCCAGTCTGAGCTTTTGAATGACTTTGTGGAGTAGACACTGCTACTTACCCTAGACCTCCTGACTATATTTGACTTACATTTAAGAAAGAAAAACTTCTATCTTATTTAAGCCCCTGTGTTTGAGGTCTCCTCATTCCATACCTTAACCAACACAATTATAGAAAAGGACATCTGCCTTCCTACCCCTCACCCCTGGTCCTTACATCAGGTCTTTTAAGAGGGAGTGGCAGGAAGTATGTATCTCAGACCATGTCCACCCCCCATATATGTGCCAAGATTGAGCTATAAGCTCCGCCTATGATATGGAGAAAGGAGATGAGCTTTAGATGGAGATGGAGATTAAAATTTTAAAACTAGGTTGTGATATTAATACCTCAAAAGGACTAGAGAGCTATGAAGTCTGCTCATCACTAAGGGGTGAGAAGGGGAGAATTTCAGAATCCAGTTGACTGAATGGGGAAAAGTAAAAACTACATATTTACATGTGGCTCTCTTGAGATTTCTCATAAACTAACTATGATTAAAAACCTCTAGAAAGTCCCTGTGGCTGGGGCGCCTGGGTGGCTCAGTCAACTAAGCATCTGACTCTTGGTTTCAACTCAGGTCATGATCTCAGGGTGGTGGGATTGAGCCCCACATGGGGCTCCACACTCAGCGGGGAGTCTGCTTGGGATTCTCTTGTTTCCTCTGCCTCTGCCCCTCCCCCTGCATGCTCTCTCTCTCTCAAAATATATAAATCAATCTTAAAAAAAAAAAGTTCCTGTGATTTTGACTTCTCGTCTCTGAAACTATAAGAGAATCAATTTCTGGTGTTTTAAGCTACCCAGTTTGTGGTAATTGGTTCTGGTGGCCCTAGAAAACCAATACATCCAGCAAGGCTGCCAGGTAGATGCTTTCTTTGCTCACAGCTCCCTTTCAATTCCAACTCTGTGCCCAATGTAGCTCCCTTTGAAGGGCCTCCCCAGCCAAAGCCTCAGGGCCTTTATGCTGCCCCAGCCTTGCCCCAAATTTTTCAAGCCAGCAGCACTCCCTAATCATCCTTGCCATGGCCTATTCCTTCTAACCTGTCACCTTATTGAGGTACTTAATTTTTATTCTCTTCATGGTGCTAACAGTGAGAAACATATTAAGACAAACTTCTCAAATTGTGGCAATGGATTTGGAGCAGGTAAATGCACTGAACAAATATGAAGGAAGGGGACACTCTATTTGCATGGGGTTTTAAGATAAAAATGAGGATTTCAAAGCCATTTTAGGCTTGTGGCCATTCAGAGCTATTCGTTCACCCAACAAGTTGTACTAAAGATCTACAATGGACCACACTGTTCTTAGCACTGGGGATGAGAAGAAAACAAGAGGCAGATGGTTCTTTTTCTCCTGGAGCTTATATTTTAGTGGACAGAAACAGAAAACAAGTAAACAAGATAATTTAGAGAGTGATGTGGTGTAAAGAAAACCAAAGGGAGCAGGGTGCCAGAGTGACTGGGAGGAATGTTTCCTTGGGCTGGGAATTCCAGGAGGTCTCTCTGAGGAGGTGACATTTAAGTTGAGACACAAATGGCAAGAACAAACTAGGCATGTTCTGAGGAAAGAATAACCTCAACAGAGAGAGTAGCAAGTGCCAGGTGCAGAGGGGACAGAGCGGACAGAGCGGGGAGTCAATGTGGCACATTGGGGAAGAGCCAGAGGCAGCTGTAGCTGGAGTGTGGCAGACAAGGGGAGACAGGAAAAAGATGCACAGGTAAGTTCAGAGTGGGAGGAAGGCAGACCATGATGACAGGTCATGAGGGGCTTGGCTTTTGTTCTAACTGTAAGGGGAGGTCATTAGAAGGTTTAAAGCAGGGGAATAGCTTGATATAACTTACACTATAAAAACAATCCCTCCAATTGCTGTTTGGAGAATATGTGAGGAAAGAGTAAAAGCAAGGAGGACAGTTAGGAGGCCAGAGGTTGTCCAAGTGACAGGTATTGGTGGCTTAGTCAGGATGGCAGGGGTTGCAGAATGGACTATACACACTATCCTCGCATAATAGGTATACACAGGGAGGAAAATGTCAAAGGCTGTACCACTGCCTATGGGGCATTCATGACTGTATCTCATGAGGGTGCAGATGAGGATGCTGTGTCGAAAGATCCAGAACATATTTAGTTTAAACAAGGTGCAGGTTTACTTCTGCCTCACGTAACAGAGGTGAGCACTCCAGGGCTGGGTGAGAGGCTGGCCTGAAAAGCACAAAAGTGGTACACCGAGGAGCATGCCCTCCATATGTGGCTTTCATCTCCAGGTTCTGGATTGATCCTCTAGTTCGTATCTCCCGTCCAGTAGAAGGGTAGAAGGGGTAATTTTCTTAGAGATAGGACCCAGAGTGGCACACAGTTTCCAGCTACATCCCACACCCATAATTCAGTCATGTGTCCACAGGAAGCTGCAAGGGAGGCTGGGAAATGTACTCTCTAGCTGGGTTGTCAGCTGCTCTGAAAAAACTCACACATTAATTAAATAAAGGGTGAAGGAATATTGGTGACAACTACAGTCTCTCTCACAACATTTTTAATTTATCTGCATAGTCATCTGTTATGGACTGAATTGTGTCCCCTCCAAAATTCACAGGTTGAAGCCCTTACCCCCAGTACCTTAGAATGTGACTCTGTTTGGGGAAAGGGACTTTGAAGAGCTAATTAAGGTTAAATGGGGTCATAAGGGTGGGACCCTAATTCAATATGATTGGTGTCCTTATTAGAAGAGGAAGAGACACCAGGATGTGTGCACACAGAGGAAAGGCCATCTGAGGACACAGCAAGAAGGCAGCCATTTGCTAAAATTCTAAGACAACCAGAAAAAGTCCTATTCAATAACCAGTTATAAATAAATGTGGCTCTGAGTTTCCTTTGTAAGCAAATAAATCCACGTCTTTGCCCTCAATAGCCTGTGACTGAAGTCTATACAGTTGACCCTTGAACAATGTGGGGGTTAGGAGTGCTGACTGTCTGTGAAGTCAAAAATCTGTGTATAACATTTAACACCCCCAAAACTTAGTCAAAAATTTGTGTATAACTTTTAACACCCCCAAAACTTAATTACTATTGGCCTCCTGTTGACAAGAAGCCTTACCAATAACATAAACAATCAACACATATTTTATATGTTATATGTATTATATATTGTATTCTCAAAATACAATAAACTAGAAAAAAAAACAAAACTGTAAGAGAATCATAAGGAAGAGAAAATATATTTATAGTATTGCACTGTAAAAAAGTCCATGTACAAGTGGATCCATGCAGTTCAAACCCATGTTGTTCAGGAGTCAACTGTATTTTCCTTTATATACATAAATTATTAAGTCATAAGTCCCCACTGGTTAACTACATATTTGTGTAGCAGGGTCAAAAATTTAATAATATACTCAGATGTGAACAAAAAATCTTTATTTTTCATAACTGGTCTAATTTTTTCCCAAGTTCTGAAGTTGAACAGGATGACAAAGCTCACCCAGAGGCCAGTGAGGCTCCATAAGACACTCCAAGGACCACTGTGTACATTTCAGAGGTTGACCCTTTCCTTGCTGCCATGAAGTCCCACAAACTCCTGCTCACACAGAATCCATTTGGGAAAGAATAAGGGAGAGCAAAGGTCCTTGAATGCGCATTTACTCAAGAGTGTTTCCATTTGAAAAAGAATGGTTGAACCAGAAGGGCCTGAGGTACCTGTAATAGGCAAGTTTGAGCACCACCTCAGCCTTCAGCCTTGCTCACTAGCTTAGTTGAAATACAGTTTTCATTAAGTCTTCCCTGAATGTGTGGAGCTAATAAAGGCACCACCTAGAGAGCAACTCAAAACCATCGTGTTCATCAGAATCCAAGTTAATGACGGGTTCTTAAATAGAATTTCCTGACTTTTTTTTTTTAAGATTTTATTTATTTATTCATGAGAGACACAGAGAGAGAGAGGCAGAGGGAGAAGCAGGCTCCCAAGGAGCCCAGAGCCCGATGCACGGCTCAATCCCAGGACCCTGGGATCATGACCTGAGCCGAAGGCAGACGCTTAACCATCTGAGCCACCCAGGCGCCCCCTGAATTTTTTTTCAGTTTCTGCCTCATTGTTTTCAGCAATTAATTCTAACTTCATATTAAAAGCAGCTCTAATATTAGCCCAAAAAAGTCCATGTTTGCTCTTCTCCTTGGGCCATTCCAAGTAAGTCCGCTGTGTCATAAGAGCCTTCAGCTTGTGATACTTGCTGGGAATGCATTTCTGTGGAATGGGTTCCAGCAAGATCAAGATTAAGTTATTAGAGCCTTCATGAAAGAGATTGTGGTGGGCAAAGTAGAGTTCATAATGGCACCACTCACTCTGGACAAAGTTGGGAGACAAAACAAAGATGGACTTGTAACTTCTCTCAATGCAGTTTATGATATTTTCCACAATGCTCTTGCCAGGAACAAAGTTTCTCTCATGGAGACAAATCCTTATATCTTCTTTTTCTAGGCAAGGTACCAGTTCGTTCTTCACCCAGGCAGAATCATGTTCACTGTATGAAATAAAAGCATGGAACTGGAGGGTTCTTTGGAGTTCTTCTAAAGGTACGTTCCTTGCCCTGTGCCGGGTCTGGGTCCACTGACACACCATCCTGAGATACCAGGGCAGATCAAAGTAGATACAGAGGGCAGTCACAGTAACAGCCAACACCAGCACAGTGACCCCAATGGTAACAAGCAGCAGAGTTGTGTTGCAGGATAACTGAGGTATGTGAAAGTCCTTCAGTGGGGTTCCCTTATAGTTTTCTGGATAGTCACACTTATAAGAATCAGGCCAACCCTCTACCACTTCACTTGATACTTGGCCTAGACTTTGGACAAATTCTCTTAGCTCACATGTACATTGGAATGGATTGTTCCCTGCTCTTATGGACCTAATCTTCTGGCAGCTCTGGAAGAAATCAGCCGATGGGTTGGAAATTGAGTTAGAGTCAATAATCAGTACAGAAAGGCTGCTAAAAGTATCACAGTCAGGAAGGTAGGCTAAAGAATTGGAAGCAACATTGAGTTCTTGTAAAGCTTCTAGTTTCATGATTGGTTTAGGAATGCTCCTTATTCTGTTATCGTGAAGATCAAGTACCTTGACCTTGGGAGGTAAACATCTGAAAACAGAGTCAGCAAGTATGTTTGAAGACAAATTTAACACCACTATACTCCCAGCCCAAGTGCAATCCCCATCATACCTATCATATTCCAAAGAATTCCCACTAACATCCAATATTTCCAAAGATGTCATATGCTTAGTCATGAGACCTACTTTGTAAAGGTCTTTTAATTTATTCTTTCGTAAGATAAGTGTTTCCAATCTAACTAGTTGGGAACAATTTTGAAAAACACTATCTGTGAAAACATTCTGGGTAAAGTTCAAAAACTTAAATGTGTTTGATGGCGGAGGACAAAGCATGTGTATAAAAGGTGTATCTGATATGGTTAACATCATAATGTTCATCTCAGAAAAAATTGTGTATAACACGGTCTGTGAAAAAATAAAAACTTCATTTTTAACATGCTCTATTTTCAATGCTTTCAGTGCTGTTTTAGAATAATGAAAATCTTCTTTATCAATCCTCTCAACTATTGTTAAATTATAAATATTGAGATATTCTACAGGTTTGGGCCAAAGAAATTGAAAAATTCTAACCAGGCATTTCCAAGTTGTTTTCACATGTTCGAGAGTAAAATTCAGTAAAGTTGGCCCTCTAGTGAGTCCTGATAAAAATTTAATTAAAACTTCACAGTTGTCATCATTCAATTTAATATTAGTCAGTTGTAAGCACCCTAAACTATTAACTGATATGTTCACTTGAACAGAGAATAACTGATTTGGATGGAAAACAAGGTGAAGTGTTTTTGTATTCAGAATTTGAAGACTTTCTGTTTCTTTTGCATAATAACCTTCTAAATCCAGAAGGATATAACTTAGATGCAGATGAGCAATTGGTAGCAGATCTAGTTGTCGTAACTTTGTAGCACTTAATCCTAAGAAATGCAGTTGCGTCAAATTGCCAAATTCCTTGCAGATGGGCAGAACATCAAAGTCATTGAATGAGAGGTCTAAATGCTTGAGACTTGTGATAAGATGGCAGGATATATTCTGTAACTGATTGTAAGATAAATCCAAATATTCCAAATCCTGGTTGAACTTGAAAATGCTAAAATCAAGGCACCAGATTCTATTATGAGAAAGTCTCAAAACTTTTAGCCCTGAGAGATAGCTCATGTCAGAGATGTGAAGCTCAGATATGTTGTTCTGAGACATATCTAAGATTTTGGTTTTTGGTGGCAGGTCTTTTGGGACATGAATAAGCTTCATATTTGACATGTCTACTACAAATTCACTTTCATCAGAGAACTGGACTATGGTTCCAACTATTAAGGTCACAATGTACACAAAATGAAAGCTTCCTGTGATAGATTCTTTGTCTTTGGTCATGATGTTGAAATGGCTATTCCCCAAATGGTTGTTGCTGTTCTTCAGAACATCTTGATATGTGTCCAAATTCTAGAAATATAATACACATTAAGATGTATAAATATTGGATGATTGCTCGCAAACCTCCACTTTTAAAACACAAAATCTCAATGATCTTTTCATTCACTATCAGAGTCATTTCTGTCCACATAATTGTGATATTTTCCCAGTTATGCAGCTTGCTGGTGCCAGGGGAGGCAATACAGACATTATTACCAAAGAATTATGGTTCTGTGTTTTATCCTGTCTGGGCACTCTGAGGGATCCATTCAGAGGTTCGGCTTTGTTTCACCCTCTTCAGAATTTTCTCAGGGCTGGAGCAGCCTCCTAGGTAATGTTTACTGAAAATCTTTAAAGGCAAACATACTAGCCACAGGCACCTGGAACAAGGAATAACAAATGTGACAAACAGCACACACACCAAAAAGCCAGGGAAAGAAGAACCTGGGAAAGGAGATGGGCGGGGGGAGGGGGGGAAGGGGCGGTGGTCTTTGGAAAACTCTATGTATACCATGAAATCTAGAAAGCTACACATGTGTCCAGGGCTGTATGGAAGCTCAAAAGATCTAAGAAAATCCTGAACTTTCACCTCTGGCTGACCTTTGGCTCTGTGAAAGCAGAAAGTGAAGGCTAAGGCAGAGTTGTAAATAGCCTGGATAAGCATTGAGGAAATGCATCAACACAGAGCCAATCTACAAAGATCAGAAGTTTTGTTTAATTTTTTCTCTAGGTGTTTAAGAAAATCTCCATCAAAGCACTAGCTAGCCAATAAGCTAATGGAGTAGAGAATTCAACGGCCACACATAAAGAATACAGTCCTTACACAATAGTTTAGAGCAGTCACTAAGCAACCAACCACACCCCATGACAAGCAGCAACAACAAACCCTGGGAGTGAAGAGAATCTGAGTTTCTACATTGTAATATTTCCAGAGTTACCATATTACAATATTCAAAATGCCTACTTTATTTTTTTTTAAGATTTTATTTATTCATTTGAGACAGAGAGAAGAGAGAGAGCATGAGCAGGGGGGCAGTGGCAGAGGGAGAAGGAGAAGCAGACTCCCTGCTGAGCGGGGAGCCAGAGGCAGGGCTCGATCCCAGGACCTGGAGGGCATGACCTTAGCCAAAGGCAGATGCCTAGGCATCTGAGCCACCCAGGCACCCCCAAAATGCCTACTTTAAACAATAGAAGGCATGCAAATAAATTACAAAGTATTATCCATCTATAGGAGAAAAAAAAGAACAAAGTTAGAGAAGTGACACTACCCAACTTCAAGACTTCCTATAAAGCTACACTAAACAAGACAATATGGTATTGGTGAAAGAATGGACAGAGAGATCAACGCACCAGAATGAATAAGTCAGAAATAGGCCCACACAAATATAGCCAACTAGTCTTTGACAAAGAAGCAAAGGCAACTCAGTAAAGAAAAGACAGTCTTTCCAACAAATGGTGCTGGAACTTTAAGACATGCAACAACAAGAACAAAAAAAAAAAAAAAAAAAAAAGGAGGGGAGGGTCTAACACAGACCTTACACTTTTCACAAAAATTAGCCCCAAATGGATCATAAATCTAAATGTAAACTATAAAACTAGAAAACTTCTAGGGGATAATACAGAGAAAAAACTAGGTGACCTTGGGTTTGGAGATGACTTTTTAGATACAACATCAAAAACACAATCCATGAAAGAAAACATTGTTAAGTTGGACTTCACTAAAATTAAAATTTTCTGCTTTGCAAAAGACATCACTAAAACAACGAAAAGACAAGCCCCTGGCTGGGAAAAAATATTTACACAACACATATCTGATAAAGGACTTGTGTTCAAAATGTACAATAAACTCTTAAATTCAGCAATAAGAAAATAGCAATTTAAAAATGGACAAAAGAGGGGCACCTGGGTGGCTCAGTCGTTAAGCGTCCGCCTTCGCCTCAGGTCATATTCCCAGGGTCCTGGGTTCGAGCCCTGCATCAGGTTCCCTGCTCAGTGGGAAGCCTACTTCTCTCTCTCTCACTCCCCCTGGCTTGTATTCCCTCTCTCACTGTCTCTCTCTCTCTGTCAAATAAATAAATAAAATCTTAAAATAAATAAATAATTTTAAAAATGGACAAAAGATCTGAACAGTGACCTCACCAAATAGCAAATTACCATATGAAAGGATACTCAATATCATATGTCATCAGAGAATTGCAAATTAAAATAATGAGATACCATTAGAGTGGCCAAAATCCTGAAACAACACCAAATATTGGTGAGGCTATGGGGCAACAGGGACTTTCAGTCATTGTTGGCGGGAATTCAAAATGGTACAGACACTTTGGAAGACAGTCTGCCAGTTTCTTACAAAGATAAATATACTCTGACCATATGATTCATCAGTCACACTCCTAGGTATTTACTGAAATGAACTGAAAATCTAGTCCACTGAAAAAGTTTGCATATAGATGTTTTAGCAGCTTTATTCGCAACTACCAAAAACTGAAAGCAACAAGATGTCCTTCAGTAGGTAGAAAGGTAAACAAACTGTGGTACATCCATACAATGGAATATTATTCAGTGCTGAAAAGAAAGGAGTGATCAAGCTGCAAAAAGAAATGGAGGAACCAAATGCATATTTCTAAGTAAAAGAAACAAATATGAAAAGGCTACATGCTGTACAATTCAAACTTTATGGCATTCATAAAAAGGCAGAACTAAAGAGAAAATAAAAAGATCAATGGTTGCTACTGTTTGGGAGAAGAGGGGGATGAATAACCAGGGCACAGAGGATTTTTAGGACAGTGAAACTGTTCCATATGATATTGTAATGGTGGATACAGGACCTTCTGCATTTGTCAAAGCCTACAGAACTATACAACACAAAGACTGAATCCAAATGTAAATTATGGACCTTAACTAGTTAACAATAATATATCAATTATATAATGTACCACACTAATGTAAAATGTTGTAATAGGAAAAGTATACAGAGTGGAGAAGGGGTCCATGGGAACTCCTGGACTATTTGCTCAATTTTTCCATAAAACTGAAACTTCTCTAAAAAAATAGAGTCCATTAATTTAAAAAGAGGAGAAGTATACAGAAGTGCAACAAATTTCTGAATATTAATTTTGTATCCTGCAACTTTACTGAATTCATTTAACAATTCTAGCAGTTTTTTTGATGGACTCTTTAGGGTTTTCTACGTATATAATCATGTCATCTGCAAATAGTGAAAACTGTACTTCTTCCTTACCAATTTGGATGCCTTTATTTCTTTTCCTTGTCTGATTGCTATGGCTAGGACTTCCAGTATCATGTTGAATAAGAGTGGTGAGAATGGACATCCTGTCTTGTTCCTGATCTTAGAGGAAAAGCTCTCAGTTTTTCACCATTGAGTATGATGTTAGCTGTGGGCTTTTCATATAAGACCTTTATTATGTTGATGTATGTTCTCTGTAAATCTACTTTGATTTGAGAGTTTTTATCATGAATGGGATGTTATACTTTGTCAGATGCTTTTTCTGCATCTATTGAGATGATCATATGGTTTTATCCTTTCTCTTGATGTGATGTACCACATTAATTGTTTTGCAAATACTGAACCACCCTTACATCCCTCAAATAAATCCCACTTGATAGTGATGAGTGATTTTTTTAAATGTATTATTGGATTCAGTTTGCTTGTATTTTGATGAGGATTGTTGCATCTATGTTCATCAGAGATACTGGCTTGTAGTTTTTTTTTTTGTAGTGTCTTTATCTGGTTTAGTTTCAGGGTAATGCTGGTCTCATAGAATGAATTTGGAAGCTCTTCTTCCTCTTCTATTTTTTGGAATAGTTTGAAAAGACCAAATATTAATTCTTCTTTAAAGTTTGGTAGAATTTGTCTGTGAACCCATCTGTTCCTGGAGTTTTGTTGGGAGTTTTTTGAATATTGATCTAATTTTATTGCTTGTAATCAGTCTGTTCAAATTTTCTATTTCTTCTTGATTCAGTTTTGGAAGGTTACAAATTCTTCTGTTGTCCAATTTGAAATTAAGAGAAACAATCCCATTTACAATTGCACCAAAAATAATAAAATACCTAGGAATAAACTTAACCAAGGAGGTGAAAGGTCTGTACTCCAAAAACTATGAAACATTGATGAATTAAATTGAAGATAACACAAATTAAAAAATATTCCATGCTCATGGATTAGAAGAACCAATATTAAAATGTCCATACTACCCAAGGCAATCTACAGATTTAATGCAATCTCTATCAACATACCAACATCATTTCACAGAACTAGAGCAAATAACACTAAAATTTGTATGGAACAACAAAAGACCCTGAATAGCCAAAGCAATCTTGAGAAAAAAGAACAAGGCAGAGGTATCACAGCCTCAGATTTCAAAATATACTACAAAGCTGTAGTAATAAAAAAAACTATACTTACACAAAAACAGATGCATAGATCAATAGGACAGAATAGAGAGCCCAGAAGTAAACCCACATTTATATGGTCCATTCATCTACAATAAAGAAGGCAAGACTATACAATGGGGAAAAGACAGTGTCTTCAAAAAATGGTGTTGGAAAAACTGGACTACTTCTTACACCATACACAAAAATAAAATCAAAATGGATTTTTAAAAATAGGAAAAAAAGAAGAAAAAATTAATAGAAATGGTTACTGAAGAAGCACAGGCATTGACTTACTAGACAAAGGTTTTAAATCAACTGTCTTAAAAGTTAACTACATGACTATAGTCTCTTTTCATTGGGCTTAGAGGATACTTTCTTCTCTTTTAAAAGGCAGTCCTTTATCCCTCCAAAAGGTTATATCACTCAGTTTGATAATCTAAAATTGTATAAAAGGGCAATCAAGGAGTTATTTCCAGAAACTATAAGACATTCTCAAGAGTCTACACCAGTATTCAATTTGGCACTAGACTCAGCCATCTGCTGCAACCAGTGACTTCTCATGGGTCAAGAGCTAACAAACCCATTTATCTCTTTCTCCAGTGACTAATCTTACCTAGGGTTAACTTTCTAGCTCTTTTCTGAAAACCTGACATATGTAGAATGTCCACCGTGTTACCAGAAAACATTAGATGAGTGTGAGATAAGCTCCTGGTGGTCACTGTGAAGCCATGCACACAGTTGGCCAGACTTTCAGATCCTCTGCTCAGTTTGGCCAAGGCAACATGAGATAAAAGGAATGGGGGGCATCTGGGTGGCTCAGTTTGTTGAGTGTTCAGCTCTTGATTTTGGCTCAGATCATGATCTCAGGGTCCTGGAATCGAGTCCCACATTGGGCTCCATGCTCAGCAGGGAGTCTACTTGAGGATTCTCTCTCCCTCTCCCACTGTCCCACCCCCTGCTCATGCTCACATGCTCTCTCTCTCAACTAAAAACAAATAAATCTTTTAAAAAAAGGAATGGGGAGGAAGGTGGGTGAAGGTTGGAAGGTCCATCCACCTGTGGCTTGATGCCTAAATCTCTGTGGTACATGACAGGATAAATCCTTTTGTGAGGGTGAAGATTGGAATAAGGCCAAGTTTGTGTCACAAGGAAGAACCACCTACTCCCTCCACCTCCATGAATTGGACCTCACCAATACCAGTTGTAGCTGGGCTGGGAGAGATGACACCCACTGTTCGTGGAGCCATTTGAGAAGATACGATTAAGACACACCAAACTGGACATTTATGACTGGCTGAGGGGTAGAAGCAGGCACAGCAGCCCACAGACCCCATGTTTGTGACTGAGACAAAGCAGTGGGACTATAATTGTGCAAAAGATCAAGCAAGAAGCTAGTCCCAGAAACTAAGACAAACACTCATGAGTCTATACCATTCCAGCTTTGATATGCATGGAAAAGCATTTATGAGCCCCTGCAGGGAACAATAGATAGCAGGACAGACAGGGTTCCCCAGCTGCCTAAATCCCACTGCAGCATCCTAAAAGCAGCAATGACAGCTGTGATGTCCACAGGGCAGGCATCCTGCACCTATGCCAGAGTGTCCACAGCCACACCTGCCTGGAACCACCTACACGTAGACGTTAGAGGTACTCTTACAGACCGGGAAGAGGCAGATGAGATAACATAAACACTCCACCCTTTGTGGCCATGGGAAATTTTTTTAGTCACAGGATCTCATTCTTTGACACAATTCCCATAAAAATGGATTTGTGTTTTTCCAATTCACACTAGACCAAAAGTAACAAATTGAGAGAGATAGGAATTGGCATTTGATAATCTGAAAACATCAAGTTCCTACAGTTGACATGCTGATAAAATAGGAAAAGAGAGTGAAATATTAAAAAGTACATTGAAGAAGTCAGAAGGCATGTCAATTTGAAGCTGCTGTATGTATGGGATAAGAGTTTTCCCAGAGCCCAGAAAGTCTTACTGTACTACAGCAGATTGGAGGCGTTGATGTTCATGACACTGATGCTGAGTGAATGAGTAAAAATCACCTGTCTGAAGAGTGGAGGCAGGTGCGCGAAGCCACAGATGCCATACTTGAGACTGGTACACAGGGTTGGAAGGTGAGGTTCACTATTCCCTATTCAAGAGCTGATCTACTCAGGTAAACATCTAGAAGCTCCCAGGTGACAAGAGGAGACATTTCTTAAGTAGGGCCTTGTGTAGCAGGAACAATTGAAAGCAGATGTTGACTACTTATTGTTCAGTTTTATTAACAAAAGGACCTACTCTTCATCACCTGAAGGTATACTGGAAATAGTAAACCACTGAAGAGGTAAGTAGGGTTTCAATGAACCATTCTTTGGAAGAGTAAAACTCTTTTGGGTTGGAGAATTTCATTACAAAATGGCATATGGTTAAAAGTCCCTAGGGGTGCCTGGGTGGTTCAGTTGGTTATGTGTCCCACTCTTGGTTTCGACTTAGGTCATGATCTCAGGGTCATGAGATCAAGCCGCGCCTCGGCTCTTCATTCAGCATGGAGTCTGCTTGAGATTCTTTTTGCCTCCTTCTCCCTCCCCCTCTGCTCATCCCCCCAACCGCTCTCTCTCTCACACACACACACACTCACTCTCTCTCCTCTCTAAAAATAAATAAATAAATAAATAAATAAATAACAGAATTTTTAAAAGTCCCTCATTGCTCCTCTTCTACAGCCTCTCCCAACTGCCACCAAAACACCCATGAAAACACAGAAACTTCTAAAAACCCATCTTGCCATCAAAAACAAAGGATAGAAAATTGATGGTGGGATCCAAAAGCATCTACACACATGGAAAGGTATCAGGAGCCATTTTAAGGAAAATCCACCATACTCAAGCTTTCTCTTGGGAAAATAGACTCCTTGACAAAAGGTGGGAAGGAATTTTGTCCCTCCCTCTGTTTGCATATCTGTTTGCAGATGTATGATCTTATAGGTAGAGAATCTGAATGACTTCAGGAAAAAACTGTTAGAACTATTAAATTCAGTAAGCTTGCAGATACAAAGCCAACATACAAACAGTATTATCATATCTATGTATTAACAACAAACTATCTGAAAAAGAAATAAAAAAAATCCCATTTACAAATGCATCAAAAAGACTAAAATACCTGGGAATAATTTTAACCAAGGAGGTGAAAGACCTGTATACTGAAAACTATAAGACATTGATGAAAGAAGTTGAAGAAGACACAATATCCAGTATTCACTGATCAGAAGAATTATACTGTTACAATGTTCATACTACCCAAAGCCATCTATAGATTCAGTGCAATCTCTATTAAAATTCCGAGGGCATTTTTCACAAAAGTGGAGAAGAGAATTCTAAAATTCATATGAAATTACAAAAGACTCCACTGTCAAAGCAATCCTAAGGCAGAACAAAGAGGCATCACACTTCAGGATTTAAAACTATACTACAAAGCCATAGTAATCAAAACAGTATGGTGTTGCCATAAAAGCAGACATGTAGACCAGTGGAACAGAATCAAGAACCCAGAAATAAACCCATGCTTATACAGTCAACTAATATTTGACAACTAATATTTGACAAGGCAGTCAAAAATACTTGAAAATGTAGTCTCTTCAGTGGTGAATGGTATTGGGAAAACTGGATATGCACATGTAAAAGAATTGGACCCCTATCTTACCCACTTGCAAAAAAGCTTACTCCAAGTGGATTAAAAACTTAACTAAGAGACCCGAAATCATAAATTTCCAAGAAGAATATATAGGGGAAAACTCCCTGACATTAGTCTTGGCAATAATTTTTTGGATCTGACACCAAAAACATAGGCAACAAAAACAAAAATAAACAAATGAAAGTACATCAAACTAAAAGCACTGTACAACAAAAGAAACAAGCAGAAAAATGCAGAGTCAACCTACAAAACTGGAGAAAATATTTATAAATCATATTATCTGATAAGGGATTAATATCCAAAATATATAAGGAACTCAGAGAACTCAATAGGAAATAATAATAACAATAATAATAAATTTTAAAAAATAATTTGATTAAGAAATGGACAGAAGACCTGAATAGACATTTTTCCAAAGAAGACATACAGATAGCCAACTAGTATATCAGAAGATGCTCAACATCACTGATCATCAGGGAAATGCAAATCAAAACCACAATGAGCTATCACCTCACACTTGTTAGAATGGATCTCAAAAAGACAAAGATAACCTGTGTTGACAAGGATGTAGAGAAAAGGGAAGCCTTGTGCACCATTGGTGGGAAGGTAAATTGGTACAGCCATTGTGGAAAACAGTAGTTTCCTCAAAAAATTAAAAATAGAATTAGCATATGATCCAGCAATCCCACTTCTGGGCATATATCCAAAGGCAATGAAATCACTGTCTCAAAAAATCATGCTTCACCATATTCATGGCAGCATTATTCACAATAGCCAGGACATGAAAACAACATAGGTGTCCAATGGCAGATGAATAGGTAAAGAAAATGTGAGATATATATATAAAATGGAATATTATTTAGCCATAAAAAGAAGGAAAGCCTGCCATTTGTGACAACATGGATAGAACTTGAGGGCATTTGCTAAGTGAAATAAAGTCAGACTGAGAAAAATAAATACTGTATGATCTCACTTATATGAGAATCTAAAAAAGCCAAACTGATAGAAACAGAGAGTAGAAAGGGGGTTGCCAAGGGCTTGGAGACAGGGGAAATGAAGAGATGTTGGTCAAAGGGTACAAACTTCCAGATATAAGATGAATGAGTTCTGGGAATCTAATGTGCAGCCTGATAACTATCGTTAACAGTACTGTATTATATACTTGAGAGTTGCTAAGAGAGCAGATGTTCACAACCGAAAATAAAA